TGGTGAAATCACCTGTTTTCTTCACTAAGGTCTCAACACTTACTCTTTCTCTCTACTCAAACTTTGTGTGCTCTTTTTACTCTACTGATTGCATGCCTTCCACAAGCAGTCGATTTATCCATCTCGAACCGTCACCATCGTTAGAGGACCATAGCATCAAAGGCCGCCTTCTTTTATGACACCATCTTCCACCCCTGCTACAACCGAATCACCAACATCACACATTATAGGTTCCTCTCTCTCTCTCTCTCTCTCTCTCTAAACCACTTTACAACCACCACCATTAAGCTTTATTTGAAAACCCTAGAAAGTATTTCAATTAACGGTAAGAGTGCATCATACTCCCATTACAATTACATGCTCCTTTTGAGTTATTTGTTGTGTGGATTTATATATGGTATATGTGTATGTACCCATGTGTCTATTTGCGTTTGTTTCTTTGTATCTATCCATCCATGTGTATATTCGTGTGTACAACACTTGATGTGCAAAACAAGCTCTTAATTTGCATTTTTTAATCAAATGCTTAAAAAATGAGAGCTTAGAAGCGAATTGGAGATGGTTGGAAAAGGGGCCCTTGGCTTGATTGATATCATTAATGTTAGAAGGGCTTTCTAAATTCTAATACCTTTTCAAGTTTACGCTTTCAGGAAATGCTTGGATCATCATTGTTTATCTAAAAAATCCGTCCTTATGACATAACCATGGGTGGTAATGGCAATTTTTGTGGTTTTATGAAGTACTTGACACCTACAGGTAATGTACACCAATGTAATACATTGCGATTAAGTGTTTACAAGTAATTTTAAATAAAAATTTCCTAAACTTTGTAGTTTTGTTCATACAACATGTTTCAGACCAGCACCTATTATGATTTGAACATGCCCCTGTTCTTGATTGAGATTGTCTAATTGAAGTATACAAGCAATAGGTATGAAAACGAATTAATTTGATGTTTTTCTCTTTATAAAATTTAGTTAATAGTAATTAATTTCTAATGCCAAATGGACCACACCTTACCATGGAAGCTGCAGGGGGGAGGTTGAGGTAGCTATCTTTCTGCATATATTTTGAACCAAATGAGGTTGAATACTTTTCTAAAGCACGTATGTATCAAAAAATGACTTTATTGGCTTTATATGTGTTCTCATATCAGTTAAACTATTTCCTAATTGCATTTGTACCCAGTCACGTCATGATGCCTAAGTGCATAATCTGAGGTAAACAACATTGCCCTCTTTCTTTCTGTTTTTTTTTATATTTTATAATCACAGATACATATTAGATGTTATTTTTTTGTACATATTAAGATGGTTTAATGGCTTTCTTATCTTATGCTTTTTGAAAAGTTTTAAACGCACTTTCTTTGGTTTGTATAGAAGAAGCCCAATAAGGTAATCTTACTATGTTTTTGCTCAACATAAATTCATTTGTGTACTTTCAGGAAAAGCTACACAGAAGCAAAACATGAGGTTTGTCGTTACCCCACCCCTAATACACGCATATCAAGTATACCATTTCAGGGGCAAATCTGTCCAAACTTTTTGTGATGCCTCTATTAATTACATGGTGCATCTTTAATTTGGATTAGTCAAATATGTTCATTATTGATGGTTTTATTGATCATTTTATTTTATTTTTGCTATTTCTTCAAAGTAAATTCTTTTAGTTACTTTGAGAATGCATTTCCTTCATCTATAGTAATGGTTATGTGATAAATCTCATAAATTTGCCGATATGGTTTTATAGGAGCTTGGACAGGAGAGAGTTAGTGACACAATTTTTACTGCATCTTCAATGTTTAGGGGCAAATTTGTCCAAATTCCAAAACATTGGTGATAAGCATATAATAAGAGCATGTATCAAGTGTTCTGTTTATACTTTAAGTGCAAATGTGACAACAATGTTTAGCATTTTATTGCCACTTCATACTATAACAAATTACTCATTTTTGTATAAATTTTTCTTACCAAATATAAATATTCAACTTGCTTCAAACTTGCATCAATCTAATGGAACTTTCACTGCCTAGGAATTTCATATTGAGTAATTTATAAAATGGTCCCTGTGATTTATGATATCTACATTTTAGTTTAAATTTAAAACATTTTCTAAATTTGATCGTTCTTCTAGGTTTCATATCGTTTTGTTGTTAGGGACTTCTCTTACCAATAGCTTTTTTAAATATAAAATACAACAAATGCTATAAAAAGGCATACTAAAACGTAATAATTAAAAAAAATACTTATATAGCAATATATAAGTAAACTCAAGACAATTAAGAAATAAATACAAATAAATAAAAATGATATTTTATTTTTTAATAACGACCATGTTATCCATAAAAATATTATTTGTTAGTGTGTTTATTATATTTTGAATTCATTAACAAACATTTTTGTTTAAAAGTGTTCAATTTATCATTAGGAACCAATTTCTAAAATATGATCATGAAGTACGCTATAAGCTAGCTAAAAGGACGTCTACATCTATAATAATGGAAATTAAAAAAATAAACAAACAAATATTCCTTCCATGTTTTCTATTTTTTTTCTAATTCATTAATAGTAATCCCTTCCAGTGGTTTTCTAAAAAACAATATGTCAACAACTTAAATAGAAAAATATAGTAATTTTATTGGAAATGAGTTTCCAAATAATAAAACAAATCCAAACATAAGAAAATATACTTTCTTATTCGACTATGTTTTGTGATAACAATCGGTAAAGCTTAGGAACAAACAATTTCAAAAGTAGGTATGTATCTACCAGAATCAGTATTCTAACACGTGCAACTTTATATAACATTTTTACGTGACAATACAATGTATTAGTGAATCATGAAAAAAAATTCAACCATGACGAAGTCTATATACCTCAAATGTAGTGTAAAAAGAAGGATTGCGTGATTAACATTGTACAATCAACAATTAGTAATTACATTTACATTGTTTTGAGTTTATTTTTTTTAGTTGGTGTAATCTGATGATTAAAATTAAAAAAAGTTGCTATTGAAAATCTTAATACTAAAATTTTTACATAAATGGTCCATGTGGTTTCTCGTATTCTTGGTTTTCATCTTTAACTTTTTTTTGTTACAGTCCACATAGTTTTCATCCCGAAAAGAAGCTAATAACCAAAAAAAATTATTCGCCGCCGCCGCTTTGCGCGGGTAACGAGTAGTATATATATATACTAGTCGTTACCCGCGCACAGCAGCGGGGACAAATAACTTCTTTCAACGATATTTTTTTAAAGAAAAATGTTATGTTCCAAAAGAAAGTTCACGTCGTAGGTGAGAGGAAGGGCGGTAGTCGTGATAGTGGTTGGTTAAAGGCGGAAGGAGGCAGAGCGGCTGTGGTGGTGGTGGTTATACTGTCTTGGTTACTGGTTAATCGCATCGACACTATCACAGCCGCTCTACCTTCTTCCGCCTTCAACCAACCACTATCACGACTACCGCCCTTCCTCTCACCCACGACGTGAACTTTCTTTTGGAACATAACATTTTTCTTTAAAAAAATATCGTTGAAAGAAGCTATTTGTCCCCGCTGCTGTGCGCGGGTAACGGCTAGTATCTTATAAATCATTTTCTTTTTAACATTTTTCTAAAGGGCCTAAACCATATATCTTATAAATCATTTTCTTTTTAATATTTTTCCAATAATAAATATCCTAAAGGACCTAAACCATATATCTTATAAATCATTTTCTTTTAAACATTTTTCCAATAATAAAAATCCTAGAGGGCCTAAACCATATATCTTCGCACTGACTAAACCAGTTGGACGTTGCTCCTCTCATTCCGCGCCACAACCGCACGGTCTACGGCCAGCGGCTCATCAAGAATATTGGGGGTAATTTCTACAGTTGGGCCATCACGACACTACCTCCTGTTATTCTGTTGAAGCTTTACCCCATCTCCACGATTGCTGCAGTTAACATCAACTCCACCTCTATTAACTTTGCTTCCTAACCCTAATATTACTTATAGCTCCTGTTCGCACAAGTATCTTTACTTCGAGTTGTATGTTACTTGATCAAATAACTCTAAGATTTATCTATGTCCATGTGCCTCTCTGATATACATGCCTGACTTATGATTTGAATTTTACCGGTGATCTGGGGTGCAGTCACGAGAAACAGTTCCACTGACTATCTGGTACATCTAATTGCAGATTGTTATTATATGTTACTAATGGCGTTAATACAACTGTAACTCAATTTCAAATGATTTGTTCTTATTTATGGAAATCATAGTCCCATGGTAACTCATTAAATATGCGAACTATTTTAACAACCAAGTATTGGTGAGCGCTTGTGTGCGTTCATTTGTTTTGCAAATTAATTTAGTTTCCTAAATAGTCAAGAAGGAGGTTATGTGCTCATTTAGCTATACATAGATCATCAACTCTTTCTCTGATTGTACACTCAACATGGTTGATAATGATATATATATATATATATATATATATATATATATATATATATATATATATATATATATATATCAATGTTTGCTGACTATTTATCTGGATGGGTCATAATCATTTCCAAATTGTTGTTGTATTAAACCTAAAAAGGTGGAGCATTGATCCAATAGGCTATCAGTGTTAAATAGTTGGGGAGTTAAGTCTTTGTATGCAAGATTTCATTGCATTTCATAGAGTGGTCATGTCTGTGGATTGAACCTAATGTTGCTCCAAAACTCCCCCCTCGATAAGCCATCAGTGTATGATGATAGAAATAAAACATAAATGGATGTAATAATTATGATTTCACCTTTGCTTTTATTTCAGCTGTGTCTCTTTGTTTTGAAGTTTTTATCTATATTGTTGCTTGTAATAGAGAGTTCAAAGACTCTCATTTTTAGGGTTACTGTTTTTTTTTTCCTTTAGGTTGACGGTAGTGTGTCATCTCTTATCTTTGTAGCCTCTCTTCTAACCATATGCTACTGTGTAACTTGTAGGAAAATAGTTTTCTTATACCATTTATTATGTAATTTGAAATAAACAAAGAGAATCCCTTTAGATGATTGAACTGCCAATTCATAGTCATTTCAATCATGATTCAGGAATAAAGGTTTTGAGCATTCAAGCTTATGATGAAAAGAAGCAAGACAAATAAATACAAGAGAATGAATTTATTTATCTGGGAAAGATTGTCTGCCAAAATACATGACTTCCTAATTGCTAAGAATAACTTATTTGATGTGTAACTAACTGAACAATGCAATATTTAAATACTAGTATGTAGTCGTCTTACATGGTTGTGGTATCTTGTTTTAATTTTGGTAAAAGAATTCAAAATTGGCAATAGAAAGTAGTAACTTGAGGCATTCACAAATCACAATGCCTTTTTCCTTGTTTATGGAGAAATTTTAACTCCCCTTTTTACTTGCGTGAGATTTTTCAAGATGAGGAAATGCACTCAAAATGTTGTGTGCTCTCAAGTCCTGCCTGGTCAAGATTCCAACCACTGGTGGCACCTGCATGCATAACATCACAATCACAGGTCAGTAAGCAATGTATTTTGTTATTTTTCAAAATAAAAATAAAATAAATGAAGGTAACTTACCCCATGGCCATGGTACTTTGGTAAAACAAGCATGTGGCGAAGCCCCACCTGCCTGAATTGCACTAAAGCCTTTGCAACAGACATGGTTTCAACAACCGTATAAGGGGTAGTATTGGTAAGTGGATGCAAATCCACATACATTTCCATTTCTTCTTTTGTAACTGCCACCTCCTCAATCGTCCCCCACCTCTCCGCCACATCAACCCAAGTGAACTTTTCTCTCACTTCCCACTCCTCTGTTCTCCTTCTCTCTTGTAAAAACCATTTCTTCTTCAACACCAGTAAAAGATGAGCTCTCAAAACAAGCCCATGCACTTCACTCACCTGTCCCACACTGTCCACAACAGCAAACCCGTTGTGGGTGGTGTTCCTCAAAACATCCACAATCCGGCCCACCGTTTCAATCCCTGATAACGTGACAACTGGCGGCTTGACATCCGCCAGCTCACCAACCGTTATATTTCTCATCCATGGCTCCGGGTGGGCTTCCAGGAAAGGCAGCCCTTTAAGCTCTAGTATGATCTCGTATATGCTCGGGTTGAAACAGTCTCCAACACTTTTGGAAATTAGAAGGACAAGCATTGTTATCGGAAGCAAAAGCAGATTGTTTGTCAGCTCAAGAAATATGACACACAGGGAAACAGTCATCCGCATGGACCCCGCCATTAAAGAAGCCGCACCCAAAACGGCATAAAGACCTTGGTCAATGGAGGCGTAGGGCCCCATCGCCATGCCAAGTAAGCGCCCGTAAGCGGACCCCATGAGGATAATCGGCAGGAAAAGTCCAGATGGAACTGCAATCCCGAACGTGAAGAGTCCCAGTATGCAATAAAGTATAAAGAAAATAACTAAGGAGAAGACACGGTATTCACTGGGAGTGTTGGTGGAGAAAATGTTGCGTACAGCATCATCGTTTGTTGTAAGGAGGAGAGTCGCCAGGTCATTGTAGTGTCCTTTTGGACAGTTAAACTGCTTGAAGTTCCCCATTCTTCCCGTAGACGGACACTCGGAATCTACTAGAGATGGATCGCATGGCGTACAGCTGGCAAGAAACGGGAGTCCATATAGGCATGCCGACGTGAACAGCGACACCGCCAGACTCAATGAAATCTTGGCTAATTTCCCTTTGGCATTGATGAGATTGTAGAGACGAAGGACCTTGTGAAGAAGGTAGTTGTAAAGGCTACCTAAAACCCCACCAATGATTCCGATCACAGTTACTGGGATGAGATCAGCTACATGGTACCTCACGGGAACACCGCTGACATCAAACATAATCAACCCACCTTGTCCAAAAAGCCCGCAGGCTCCATCTTTACAATACTCCATGAAAGCTCTGAGCACCACCACCACAACTGCTGTACTGAAGAAGGTTCTCCAGAGGAGAGCGCTTCTCCACCATGTGGCCACCTCCTCAAGTGCAAACAGGACACCTCCTACTGGGGCCCGGAAAGCAGCACACACGCCTGAGGATGCGCCACAGGTGATTATGTCTCGGCGATCACGGTCGTTGTTGAAGTAACGAATCCACCGCCATTTGATCCGGTAGTCGTCGGGCCCACCTTGACCTAATAATGAAGCGATGCAGGCACCAATGTGAACCAGCGGCCCTTCTTTCCCTAAATCCAGACCTGCAGCCACAGCTCCTATGCTTCCAACGATCTGTTGAATATGATTTTGTTCAAATTTAGTAGCTAAAATAAAACATGGCAACAGCATAAAAAAGAGAAGAAACACAACCTTAACAAACATGGTGGTGGCTCCATACATATTGGGAGTATCCACCCCGTTTAGGTAAGCTTTAATTTCGGGAATGCCGGGGCCCGCTGCAGTAGGTGCGAAAAACACACATAGAACTGTTGCCACCAGTGTTAATAGGAAATTAACCCCCGTCATGTAAAAGAACCCCATCATGTACCTGATCATAATAATTCATAATGTAGATTTACAATTAATAAGCAATGTGTTATTAAGTATTTGAAAATACCTTTTATTGTCTATGTATTGAACTACAGCAAGCAGTTTGTATCCTGCAATGTTTTCAACTGCAAGATTGATGAGAGTGGCTATGAGACCGGTTAATAGCCCCACTAGGAAAGCCAATAACCATTTAAGGAATATATACTGCAACACTTGCGCTTGCGATCTGCTTCTCCAATCGTGCTTGAACAGATCATTCTCATTGATCCTGCAAAAAATATATATATTTATTTCATAAAAAAAAAACTCTTTTTTCATGAAGATGGAATCTGTAATGATAGATAACTTACTCATAATCCAAGCTTTCGATATAGGAAACTTTGGCTCCAACAAGGGCTAGTGGACTTGAAGAAAGGGCAGTTAGATTTCTCTTGAGGAGTGGCTGATGGAGTGAATCGCTCTCCATGTCTCTTTCTTGTTGATTTGTGGTCTCTGCCATTTGCTCTGAATCTTTCTCCATTTTATCAGTCAAGTTGCAGAGAGCTCACAGGTTTGATTCTGGCAGAGTACTGCTGCTCTTCTCTCTCTCTCTCTCTCTCTTTCTGTTTGGTATTTATAGTTTGATTGAGATTCAATTATTCATCATGTGTTGTTGTGTTTCATGGGGATTTCGTGATGCACCATTCTTTTTTATAAGATTTGGATAAGAGCAAGGAGTTTGTGACATTTACTAGTGTAACTATAAAATAAAAAACTAAGGGTCCATATCAGATGTGCTAGTTGATAATGATTTGTTTTAGGATTTTGTTAATATATGAAGCAAAAGTGAGACCTCTATTTAAGTGCTCACAAAATCTAAAATATTAAGACCACTTCTAGGATACTCCAAATTGCCAATTCATGTAGCATGAAATGTAATGTGTGAACTTATTCGATAAAGTTAACCGGCCTTTACTTATTTTAAGATTGAAAAATAACAACCATTTATTCCTAAACTCATGGAACAGTTGCTATTAATATATAGAGGTCTGATGAAAAAAAAAACATCAATGTACATAACATGGAAAAGGGGTCAAATACATATAGTTATAGAATTAACAAGTAAAGAAATGGTTAGTGATTAATAATCAATCCAATCATCTTTGAACAATTGTTTAAGAAATGAAATTGGAGATCTGAAATCGGATGGCTGGAAGAAAAACGGCTCTTGGGGTAAGTGGAAGGGCAGCGAGTGAGTTTGTCCAGGTGTGCATCAATTATCGTTTTCGATTAGCTGCATGTTCAATCAAGACAGATTGGACGCTTAAACATGTGTATTGCTGTTGGTCCACGTGGCCACACAAGTAGGCCAACCGGTTTTTGTTAAACTTATTAATTAATTTCCCATGAGAATCACAACCATTGCACCTTTCGTATTTTTGTTTTTTTTGGACCACAATCAATCATTAACATAAAAAAAGTTTATAGATCTAGATTTTTGTTATTATTATTTATTACAAATGGTATTATTATTATTATTATTATTATTGATAGATAGGAATGTAACAATTGTGATAATGAAGCATTTTCCTTGACGATTGCTTTATAGAAGAAACTATGGTGTTTATATAAATATTATATATAATATATATTCTTGTGGATCATGCTGTGTTATTCTATATTTGACTATTAGATCTGGGCATGTAAGCGAGATATGTTATATTATAATTTACAAGCCTTTTCAGACAACTGGTTTGAAGCGATTAGGATTTAGGAAAAGGAAAACAGACCCCCGAAGACTAAGGATCTCAAACATAAATATTATAATTTATACGAACATAATAATAAATCATGTATCCTAATTTCCCACTGCCTTGTATTCTTTATGTTTTTTTTTTTTTTTTTTAAGGCATTCGATTCGTTAAATAACATATTTTAGAGATGATGGTGTCAGAATATGAAGAGCATATGCTCATTCTCATTGGAAACTTATTTGTAGGTTTATACAAAAACCAAGTGTGTTTTTTTTTTTTTTTTTTTTTTTATGATTTATTATTCCTTATGTTATATCTTTTTCTTCACATTAAATTTTTATTCTTTTATCATTAATCTATACAAGTCTTTTTCATGTAAGTTTTAATTTGAAATTGAATTAGCGGTCTCTCGTATTGATTGGTTTTTTAAATGTTATACTACGACTCAGTGTTTTTAATTATATGAAGAAATTAAATTTCAAATTATACAAAATAGATATGCATGGGTAGATAGATGTTAAGGATTATTTGCAAAATGTTCAGGAACATTTTATGGGTGTGATTAAGTTATAAATGTCCCCACAATATCCATCTATTGACGTTATATATTGTGTATCGTAAATGTATGGTGTTGATTGAATATGGTTGGTTGTCTGTCATGCCCATGTTCATTTGATTGTGTTTATGTGAGATTCATGTAGTCTCAGGATAAAAAAAATGGTCGGCCATATGACAACTTCAACAATGGATGTGGAGACGTGTTATTTTTAATTTTAATGTACACAAATTTTATTTTTATGTTTTTTTTAGAATATGATTGTTAGCATCCGACTTATTATTTCCAGTTTCCAAATGAATGAAATGTCAAATGAAACTCATAATGTGGCTTTAACTGTCTTAAAGGTTAACATAGAATAAAGAAAATAATATAAAAAGTGGCTAAAGACAGGTCTATGTTATATTGTTTGTCTTATTATTGGGAATCTATAATTAAAATACAAAGTTACAATTATAATAATAGATAATTATTATAGGTTTCCTAATCATTCTACATAATTAAAATATAAAAGTTACATAATTATTATAGGTTTCTTAATCATCCTACGCAGCTTTGGATAAACGTTCATTGCAAGTGGTTGATATTGGTCTATGCACAAACATATAATACAATAATATTTTTATTATAATCATCAATAATAGTTTTATAATTGAGTTGACATGTCCATAAGTATCATCTCCAGTACACGGCAACAATGAAGATTTTTCTTATTTTTTATTCGTCCAAATCTTTTGCTAAATATGTTTAAAAACAACCCATCTAAATGAGATTTTATTTAGTTTATTTATAAAATGATGATGCATGATATTAGTCGTTTAATTTGTACTTCAATTGTTATCAACGTAAAAAATGATTAAAAAATAAGCTAACTGATGATTTGTATATGACTCAACGTTAATTGATGGTACATTAATAATCAAAACAAGGAAAATATGGCATATTTCTTAATCATACTATGCGTTTTTGGGTACACTTATTGCAAGTGGTGGATAGATTTGACAATAACGATATTTTAGATGTATGAGGATTTAAACTATCTATTTATTGTATGAAATTTCATATTTCAACCATTAGGATTTAGACTCATGGTGATCCAATCTTTAGGTTTTATCACCGTAAATAATTTTTCACTCAGACAATCATTGTGGTTTGGTTTTGTTTGTATTGATTTTGGTCGCAAACATTTTTATCTTTTTAAATTGTGTGTAATATTATAACATATTAGTGTGTGAATCATTGTGGTTTGGTTTGGTTTGTATTGATTTTGGTCACAAACATTTTTTTTCTTTTTAAATAGTGTAATTTTATAACAAGTGTGTTAGTACCACACCATGTAAACGGATAACTTAGAGATAGACTTTTATCATTCAAATGTTTGTTGTAATCCATATATTTAGGATCTGATTTCTATCTCCCTGTAACATCCCCTATCCTAATAAATAAGTAAAATAGTACCACGTGTCAGTCTCCCAGACCCCCAAAATATAGTTTTCCCGCTTCTTTTCTTCAGGTCCATTTACGTAAATGCCCTTCACTTCAAATAGAGGCAATTAATCCGGAAAAAACTGCAGTCAAAAAATGCAATTAAAATTTTAAAATGAATAAAATATTTGCAAATAATATACAAAAATCGGTTATTCAAATTTGAAATTCAAAATACCCGATTTATATGGAAGTTTTTTTTATTGTGATTGGAAATTAAATAATTTCCCGTGATTAAATCCCAAAAAATCTGCATTCTTAAAATTATCTTTTCAAAATACTACTATTATCCATCTAATATATTCCTTCTTTTCAGCATTCTTAAAATTATCGAGCTATCAGGTAAGTAAATCACAAAAAATCTGCTGGAAATAAATGCATACCCATATAAATGACTATAAGATCTACATGCTTTGGTATCCACGATTCTGCTTATGAGCTACTTTGCAAAAGTTAATTTTCTCATAATCTCGCTATATAATTGACTATTACATTCATTCATTGTTTTCCTACACCTCTCTACATCCAATCTTAGATTAATCATTTCAGATCCATTTAACTCGATCATTTTCATTCAATCCTTGTTAATAAGGTTTAAGGTTAGTTTTCTTTAATATGTAATCTATCTGTATATACGACTTCTCTCTATCTCTTTTTATACCATCTTTTGGGGTTTCTTTACTCTCCATTCTCCTGCTTTTTCTCTTTATTAAATTGGATGCATATTGGATTTACTTTTACGTATGTCTATTTAACATATGCATGAAAGTACTGTAAGATGTATTCATCTTCCTCTTTCATCCATTGTTGTTTTAATCGATGTGTCTTTATATGTATCTTTTACGAATAATTTAAAGTATAATTTTGTAATAAACTAATCAATTAAACTATATATTCCCATTATCTATTATTAAACATGCTGATTAAAAAGAAACTGAAAGTTAAAAGCTAAAAAAACACAATATAACACAGATACCTCTATGTATGTGCCAATGGTAGTCTTATTAGAGCCACCATGCTCCTTCAAGTTGTTTATTGCCTCCATCATAAGATTGTCCAGCCTGTTAATGACACAAAAGGTAAAATGGTCATACACTATAACTATTGATAACATCATCTTCCTAGAGACTAAATAACCATGATTCATAAGAGATATCCCTAATGTATAATAAATAGCACATTATATAATCAATCTGCCATTCTGGTAACACATATACCTCAATGTATGTGGGATATTTGTAGCTATTTGTCAGTTGATGTCAACATTAGTTCCAGACAAAGGGTACAATCATCATTTACTGTCGTTCAGAAGGTTTATTCAATGTAACAAAGAAATAGTCTTTGTTCACACATCACTTTATCCATACAACAATTCATCATCATTTATCCATACAACAGTTAGTGTGAAAAAGAACAAAGAAATAGGGCCTAACCTTATCATAGATCTTTTTGAAGCACCAACTTGTGGAGAACCACTAGAAGACTGAAGAGGCCTCACATCACCCGAGTCTTCATCACTGGGATCAGCAGTTGTGAGTGAGAGAAGGTTGTCATCCTTAGGGACATGTTGCACTCTTTTCAGGGCTAACCTAGCCTTCTCCTTAGATCCCCATCCATTTTCCATTACACTCATGTTCCTCCATTTGTCCTGATCCAAGTCAATGAACCAACGATTAAAAGAAAATTTCAGATATGTAATAACCTCCAGCAGAAAATTCCATTTGAAAAGATGTAAACCTTAATATCCACATTAGAGCGCAGGTATAACACACTGCTAAACTTTGGATCTTTAAGAATTGTGCACCATTTTCCTGCTCCATGCTTAAGAACTCCAGCTTTTAGAGCTGCTTCTTCTTCAGATGTCCATTTCTGCTTAGGAGCACCCATAAAGCCAATCAAGACTAGCAAGTTCTACCTGCACAGCATATTCATCAATTCCGTAATGCAATCTAAGCGTTATTTTTATAAAACACGTTAGGAGAATGATCAACTAATTGTTGTTCACCGAGCATATCGAACACATGGATTAGGCATCTAAAACTTAGGTCACCAAAGTGTAATTATGTATCAGATATGACTAAGATAACCAACAACGAAATACATCAAAAGACCTCCTGCACGATTACTACAAGTACAACGAAACTCTGCTAGCTAAGAAAATATAAAGGAACCCTAATTTCCTCAATTCTCATCGATACTTGTACAATTACATAGATTACAAGCTCAAATACCAATCAATTCGTGTATATGAACAGAAGACCGACCCACTTCCTACCTTCAATCATAATTCTTTTTCTCGGACCAACTGAGGACCAAAGACCTTCCCCCCCTCTCTCTCTCTCTCTCTCTCTCTCTCTCTCTCTCTCTCTCTCGACGCCCACCTTCCCCCATCCTCATTCGCATATTACTGTAAGAGCAAAAAAGAAGTAGGCTCGCTGCTTCTTCACTTTTCTGCGAACCATTCGAACATCGGAGGTCCTCAACTTTTCAAACCTTCACCCACCAAGAATCGATAGCAGCTTCCTGCTTCTTTTCTTCTTTTTCCTTCGGTCCAGCGAAACCCCAGAGATCCCCCCCTGCTTCTTTTCCGATCGAACACCATTAGATCCCTTTCTTCGATCGGTTGTTTCTTTTTCTCAAATTGAAGAAAACGGAGACCTGACCCCTTTTCCCTAATTTCAATTTTTGGTCTAATCGACCAATTTAGCCACTCCACTTTATGAATTTGACCAAGACAGTCCCCTATGGAAATTATTGACAAATTAACCTCAAATCTCATTGATTCTTTTAAACCATTTCAGCCCCTCCTTTGTAATTAGATTACAAATTCATTTTTTACTTTGTTTTATATGTTTTCTAACATATCAATTTTTACAACTTTAATTTTATGTTGTTTTACATGTGCTTTCACATGTAAATGCTTACTATTAGAATAATATTTCTTTTCTAAAATCTAATATTATGGTTAATGGAATATAAATAAGATTCTTACATAATTGTTAATTACAATCTTTATATGATGTAATAACAATATTTCAATAATATATTTACTTTTATATATCACTATTTTCAACATATTTCATTATAAACTTTTAAACGTAACTTACATATACCTAAACAATATATTTTTTATTATTTAATATGTATACTTTTTTTGAAATATTATATTATTGTATAAAAAATAAGAACATGGATATATGTGAAACTATTGTGCGATATTATAAAGTTTAATAAAAGTATTACAGTTATATATTATATACTACCAAATTGTAGGTTTATATGTTATTTCTTTGTAATTTAATCATAATCTGTCAATATGTCAAAAAAATATATTATACCCCTTTGTTCAACATATAAATATTATATATGAATTACTTATTCTGTAATTTTAGGCATGTTGTTTTATTAACTAAATCGAGTTATAATGTAGTATCCAATTTAATATTGTTTGTATTATCTAAGAGGAAACTATTTAATTTTCTAAAAAAACTATTCAATTTCTTCTAAAAAAACTAGAAAATTAAATAGTTTCCTCTTAGATAATACAAACAATATTAAATTGGATACTACATCAACGTGTCTATCTGCAACAACTAAAACTGTTGAGACTTCAACAAACTTTCCGTCTACTGCAAATAAATATTGCTCGACACTGGTTCCTGATGCTTACAAAGGTATGTTTATTTCTTCAATTTTATTATAAAAAAACATATTTTTTACCTCCTTATACTTTTTATAGCCTATACTATTATCGTTTATGCAGAAAACAACAATAACATGTACTAAAGATTGGTTTGTTTCTCAAAGATCCAATTTTTTAACATGGGCAATTGTATGTTGCCTTATCTTGAGTTGAAAGCACAGAGGGATTAAAATTATTAATTAGATAAAGATGGCAGACTCACATATAAAACTTCCAATGTTCTTTATAAGGAAATTTTTCAAAATTTATAACCAACTTTTTTGTAGCATCTTTTAGTCATTTTTAGCAAAACATACTTAATCCATCATATTACTTTATTTATTTATAATTACATATTGTATATTTTATGTTAATTTCATTACCACACATAGGTAAGGCATCATCTTGGTATGTTTAACAAGAATCATACAACAAAAATCAAGTTAAAAATCTCCACTTGTAATTAAATATTTACCATTTACTGTTTAATTAAACACGTACAAATCACAAAGTTATTAAAATATGCAGTATCACAATTCATAAGTTTTCTAATCTAATTTGTAGCCAACTTTTTTGTAGCATATTTTATTCATTTTTAGCAAATCATACTTAATCCATCATATGACTTTATTTATTTATAATTATGTATTGTTTTTTTTATGTTAATTTCATTACACACATTGGTAATGCATCATATGCGTATGTCCAACAAGAATCATGCACAAAAAATAAGGGTTTTCAAAAATCTCCATTTCTAATTAAATACTTACCATTTAGTTTGTAATTAAATACTTACAAATCAAATAATTATTGAAAAATGCAATATTACAATTCATATGTTATAAAAATTACTTAAATATTATTTTATTAAATAATTAATTTTTAAATTCAATTAAAAATCAACACCCGTGGATTCCACGGGTTTTAACCTAGTTTACTTATAAATACAAACACATAACCCTATTGGGTTTTCACGGCTAATAGATATTTCTACTTGGTATCAGAGCCAATCCTAGGGCTCCGAATTCTTTTCTTCATTCTCTTCACTTCGGCTACTGGTTCTCCATCCAGTACTTGCCATGTCTACATCGTCTTCTTCAATCAACTCTGCTAAGATTGCCGCTGCAATCTCATGCAAACTCACACGCACAAACTTTCTGTTATGGAAGGCCCAAGTAGTCCCGATACTTCGAGGTGTCCAATTATTTGGATACCTTGATGGTACCATACCCAAACCTGCAACCAAAATCACAGCCGGAGCAGGCGAAAATGTCGCAGAAGTCGATAATTCTCAGTATGCCCTCTGGTTTGTTCAAGATCAAGCGATCATAGGAGCACTTATGTCCTCTATGACAGAAGAAGTTCTCGCCCAACTTACAAGGTGTTCCAACACATCCAAAGAACTTTGGACCTCTTTACAAACGATGTTCTCAGCCCAGCATCGAGGCAACTCCATTCAGATACGAATTCAACTCTCCACAACTAAGAAAGGCAACATGACAACTTTAGAATTTTATCACAAGATGACCAGTCTTGCTGATACCATGGCCAATATAGGCCATCCAATGACCGATGAAGAAGTTATTGGATACATCCTTACTGGGCTTGGACCAGGCCACATTGATTTGGTCATGGCCATCACAGTAATGAGCAATCAAAACCTGGTAACCCTACCTGATTTTTACTCCTATTTAATCGCTCATGAGGCACAGACCAATATGGTGAATAACATGCCCGAGTTCTCAACCTCTGCTAACACTGTGACTCGTCAAGATCAGAATCCCCCATGACGAAACAACAACAATAACTCTTACAATAACAGAGGCAACTATCGTGGTGGATGCAACAATCGTGGGCGTAGACGAGGCAGGGGCAGAGGAAACAGCGGTTTAAGGTGCCAGGTATGTGGGATTCCTGGTCATGGTGCTTTGACTTGTCGCAATTGGTTCAACCATGCTTATCAGAATGAAGACTATCATGGTGGAAACAGTGCAACCACTGGCATCTACAACACTGATCCCCACTGGTATGTTGATTGTGGAGCAACAGATCATTTGACAAGTGATTTGGATCGTCTCACTGTCCATGACCGCTATCATGGCAAAGATCAAGTACAAGTTGCTAATGGCACAGGTTTGAATATCTCTCATATTGGTCAGTCAAAAACTTTCTGGTTTAGGAAAAACTCTTGCTCTTAAAAACATTCTTAGAGTTCCTCAAATTTCGAAACACCTACTTTCTACTCATAAACTTGTTTCAGATAATCTTGTTTTTATTGAACTTCATGATCATGCTTTCTTTGTTAAGGACAAAACAACAAAGAAAATCCTCCTGGCCGGTAAAAGCAAAGGCGGTCTGTACCCGGTTCCACTTCGTCACTCACCATCTCATCAAGCATTTTCAAGCTCTCGAGTGATAAGGACACAATGGCACCACCGGTTGGGACATCCAAGTTCAGCAGTCATCAGTTCCATTTTAAAGTCTAATAAATTAGGAGTGTCTTTTGATGTTAATAAACACTTGGTAATTAGGAGTGTCTTTTGATGTTAATAAACACTTGGTCTGTGATGCATGTCAAAGATCCAAGAGTCATCAGTTACCTTATAAACATTCTTTGCATGTTTCTTCTTTTCCTCTTGAGCTAGTCCACACGGATGTTTGGGGACCAGCTCAAGTTTCTAGTGGCGGTTATAGATACTATGTTAGCTTTGTTGATGATTTTAGCAGATTTACTTGGATATATCTTATCAAACACAAATCTAATGTTGAGCAAATCTTTTACAATTTCCAACACCATGTTGAACGCCTTTTAAACACCAAAATTCGTATGGTGCAATCTGACTGGGGAGGAGAATATCATAAACTTAACAAATATTTTCAAACCATAGGTATCTCACATCGTGTCTCCTGCCCACATACCTGATGGGTTTTGGTCATAAGACATCATATGTGCTCATACAAACCCTAACGCTTGGATCTAGGTTTCTCTATTGTACATGCTTTGAATCCAAGACTATAAACCCTAATTCTAGCATATGGAAATCAATATTAACATATAATTAGGTTTAAGATATTACCTTGATTGTTATGTAGCAATAACAATCCTAATTCCACCTTGAATTGACTTTGGAATGCTTAGAGTCACAAGTGTCACTCCTCTAATGGCTTACAAACACCAAAAGCAAATGGAGAAGGTATAAAGAGAGAGCAGAGAGGTTAGAATTCGTCCTTAGGACTCCTTGGGAACAAGTACATGAATTCTAAGGCCTTATGGTCTTTATATAGGTGTAGAGATAGGGTTTCAGTCATTATCCTTATCTAGTTGCTTATCCACAAAGCAACCATAAGATAAGCCTTGAAAACCCTTATCCTTTATCCTTTGGACGATTTCAAGGATCCTTATCTCCTTGAATTCATTCAACCCATATTTAGGATAACCATTACCATATTTTGTAACTATCACATAATTACAATTCAGCCCCTCTAGTTTAATTAATTACACTTGATCACAAAATTAATTCCTAATTAATTATTGACCAATATTAATTAAACAAATATGATTTCTCCTTTAATATATTATTCTTATAACATATTAATAAATCATAATAACCTCTCTCTCTTTATTTATTTCTCCAATCAAGTTGCTTTGGTGAAGGCAACCCAAAAGGACCATGCACCATCGGGTCAAGTACATACCAAAATAGTTATGGACTTAGACACTAATCCAACAATACCTCCCAACAAAACGGTATTGCAGAACGCAAACACCGTCACATAGTTGAAACAAGTTTGGCTCTACTTGCTCACTCTTTACTTCCACTTCGTTTTTGGGATGAAGCCTTTTTAACAGCTTGTTATCTCATTAATCGTATGCCAAGCCCAACTACTCACAATATTGCTCCAATTACTCGACTGCTTCACATCACTCTTGATTACTCATTTTTAAGGAACTTTGGATGTGCATGTTGGCCAAGTTTACGAAAATATAACTCTCACAAATTAGATTTTTGGTCCAAAATGTGTGTTTTTCTTGGCTATAGCTCTATGCACAAATGGTACAAATGCCTTGATAGAAGCACCGGCAGAATTTACATTTCTCGTGATGTCATCTTTGACTAATCTCGTTTTCCTTTTGCATCCGCATCCAACAATCATACACAAGTCTCATCCAGTGATCTTGTCTCTTTTCCTCCATTAGAACTAGAAATTAATAATGACCATATGAGCAGGTATGATCTCTCTTTGCTATCCCACACTTCTCATGCAGGTACAGGTTCATCACAAGGCCTTCCTACCGTGATCACTCATCAATCAACTACAACAGCTCCATCTGCAACACCCATTATTGTGCCATCACAGCCACCTCCATCGCCACCCTCTCCACCAGCTGTGCAGCATGACGAACAAAGTAATCACCCAGCTTCCCCATCTCCAGGTGTCTCGTCTCCAGCAGTCAGTGACCAGCCCTCTCCTTCTCCACCAGGAGTCACTACTAGAGCTCAAGCAGGTATTATACGACCACGGAAATTTACTGATGGCACGGTCCTCTATGATGTCACTAGACGAGCTTTTATGGTTGTTCCTACCAATCATCATAGTGCCTATGCTGATCCGGCATGGCGCCTTGCTATGGAAGACGAATTTTTAGCACTCCAGCAAAATCAAACATGGTCTCTTGTCCCTCGACCATTAGGGGTTAATATAGTGAGCTGTAAATGGATATTTAAAGTTAAAACTAAACCTGATGGGACTCTTGACAAACGCAAGGCTCGTCTTGTCGCTAGAGGTTTTACTCAGCAACTTGGAGTGGATTTTCGTGACACCTTCAGTCCAGTTGTCAAAGCTGCCACAGTTCGGTTAATTCTTTCCTTGGCTGTCTCCAAACAGTGGCCTCTCCGCCAAATCGATGTTAGTAATGCTTTTCTCTATGGTTTTCTCAATGAAGAAGTATACATGCAACAGCCCCCCGGTTTTGAGGACTCTACTAATCCTAGACATGTTTGCAAGCTTCATAAATCCATCTATGGCCTAAAGCAGTCTCCTAGAGCTTGGTTCTCCCGGTTAAGTGAGAAACTATATCAGTTGGGTTTTGCTTCATCAAAGGCAGACACATCCTTGTTCATATTTCACCATGATCGAGTCACCATTTATATGCTTGTTTACGTCGATGACATTGTCATCACTGGTTCCTCGCCAGTTGCTATCGACAAACTGGTTCATGCTCTAGCGAGTTCCTTTACCATTAAAGACCTTGATCGCCTTAGTTACTTCCTTGGACTTGAGGTACTTCACAACTCAAGGGGAATCACACTTCTACAACATAAATATGCCATTGATTTGCTACACCGAGCTCATATGGAGAATTGTAAAAGTATTTAAACTCCTATGTCAGTAACAGATAAGTTATCCCTCAATCATGGCACACCACTTTCTGAAGAAGATGTGTTCAAATATCGAAGCATGGTGGGTGGATTATAGTACCTTACATTAACACGCCCTGATATTTCCTTTGCTGTGAATAAGGTGTGTCAATTCTTGTCTAAACCCATTGACATTCACTGGGAAGCTGTCAAACGTATACTGAGATATGTAAAGGGGACAATTGATATTGGGCTGCGTTTTACTCGATCTACCTCAACACTTCTAAGTATTTTTACTGATGCAGATTGGGCAGGGTGTACAGACTATCGACGATCTACTGGTGGTTTTGCAATATTTCTTGGTCCAAACTTAGTATCATGGAGTTCTCGTAAGCAACCAACTGTGGCTCGATCCAACACTAAAGCTGAGTACAAGGCACTCGCAAATGGTAGTGCAGAAGCTACATGGATTTAGATACTGTTAAGAGAATTAGGAGTACTGCAGCCAAGGCCTCCTGTGTTGTGGTGTAACAACCTTGGTGCAACATATTTAACATCCAATCCTGTTTTTCATGCACGAACGAAGCATATAGAGGTAGATTTTCACTTTGTAAGAAAAGGTGGCTATAGGTGCTCTTAATGTTAGATTCATCTCTTTTGGTGATCAACTAGCGGATGGACTCACAAAGCCTATGACTAAACAAATGTTACAGCAGCTACGACACAATCTAAACCTTGTCTTGGTTAAGATTGAGGGGGAATGTAAACGGATAACTTAGAGATAGACTTTTATCATTCAAATGTTTGTTGTAATCCATATATTTAGGATCTGATTTCTATCTCTCTATAACATTTACTTATAAATACAAAAACATAACCCTATTGGGTTTTCATGGCTAATAGATATTTCTACTACCTTTACCCATACCATTTCCCTTTCCCTTTTCCTTCCCCTTCCACCGCCGTGAGTCTTGCGTTTTTTCTCTTCTTGTTTATTCTCGAAGTACCACACTCCACACCCTACTTTCACCCTTACCATTTTCCTTTCCCCTTTCACCGCCTTTACAGTCATAACATGTCTCCTCCACCACTACCACCTAACCATCGTAATCATTCGCCACCGATCAAGAAATATACTTATTTTTTTAATTCTATTAAAACATCAACAAACTCCTTTCTACCTTACCTTAAATCCATTACCATTTCATCCCCGACATAAATAAGCAAAAATATTGAAGAAATCAAATGAGACGATAATTAGATCACGGAGGTAACATAATTTTATAAACTCATATCTAGAAATTTGAAAAATTAAAATGTATATTTAAGTTATTTAAAAATTTATATTTAAGCTATTTAAAAATGAATATCTAAGTTAATTACACATAAAAATATAGAATGAAAAACTTAAATCAAAATATCAAATTAACACGAGAAATGACTACAAACTAATTTGTTAGAATACTAAAAAAAATGAGAAATTGACTTATCAAGGTAATTAACTTTTCGGTTTATTTGTATCTGGCTAACTATTTTTATACACATCTAGGTAACGAACTTTTTAGAAGTGTTTACATATGACCGTTATGACTGGTTGTATATGATCGACTGTAGCAGGTTGCATTCGATTATAATGGTCATATGTGAACACTTCCAAAAAGTTCATTACCTTACCTAGATGTGTACAAAAAAATAGTTATCCAGATGTGAACAAACGAAAAATTTAATTACCATGACAAGTCAATTTCTTCTATTTCTTTGCTCGGTTTAACAATTATTTAGTCTGACCTTGATTGTTTTAATGTTTTGTGACCGGCTACTCTTAACCAACCGATCATTCAATAAATGACGTGGGTTTTAATAGATGACATGGCAAAACTAGGTTAAATGGATGCATCTGATTATTCTTTTCTTCAAAACTTGTGTTCCTTTACTTCTTCTTTTGAGTTCTTATTGTGCAACTGAAATGGCCGATCGATCATATGGATCTTCTTCTTCATCCTCAACTTCTAGCTACAAAAACGTATTGTGTAAATGTGGTGAACAATCAAAGATTTGGACTTCCACAACCAAGAAGAACCCAGGCCGACATTTCATACGGTGCCCTAATTCTCTGGTATAAGAAATTCTTTTAAGATTGAAGTTGTTTCTCTAATGTTTACTCAAATACTTCATTTTTTGTAGGATTCTTCAAAAGATTGTAAATTTTTTGTATGGGTAGATGAGGATTTGGGTCTTCACACGTATAAGAGTAAAGTTAATGAGTTGAATAGGGAGAATATGGATTTGTTCAACAATAATATGATCCTTTCCAAGAAGAATATGGAACTGGAGAAGGAGAACATATGTCTACAGAAGAAATTGATGAACCTCGAGGTGATTGAATAAAAAAAGAGAATGATATGTTCATGGTTAGGGTGATGTTTTGTATTTTTCTCGTTAGCATTTTCATGTGCTTTATAATTATGTAATATGGGAAGTTATGTTAATTTAATATCGCTAACTATGTAATAGGGCAGGTTAGGTGTGTTAAAGTATTGCAAGCATGCTTAAGCAATGTACCTTGAATCAATGTTTAACCAATGTATTTTAAAGCCATGTAATTTAAATCCCATGCACATTCTAACTATCTTCCTGGTGTGGTTACTTTGTTTATTCTTGTATGTAATTATCCTTCGAATTAATAAAAAGTATAGTTTTGCTAATGGGTAATGTCACACCCCCGAACCAGACGGCGAAAACGTCCGGAGGCTCGTGTGACTAACAATTGAATTATCATCACAATGAATATACATGAAACGTAACACATTCATCACCAATATTACATATTACAACCAGCATTGTTCACATCAAGTACATTGTTAAAGATTACATAAATTCAAAGTATTAATAGTACAATGAGTGATGTTACACAAAATAAATCCATACACACTTGAAAATCTTCCTGCTTAACGCTTACCTGAGAATACAAGTTATTTTGAAAACGGTCAACATATATAATGTTGGTGAGTTCATAAGTATGTTTGAATAAAAGTCTTTGCATCTTTTATAAAAGCCCAGAAAATCTCATATTTTCTGTAAAATGTCTATAAATGATATGAAAATCAAGTATAAATGCATGTGTGAATTTCATAACAGTAACATATATGATTGCAGTTCAAATTTCTTTGTATTGTAAGTAAGTGATAATTGAATAATAGTATTTCCCCAGAAAATCTGATATTTTCTGATTTATAATAATGTCGAGGTTCTTGTATCATTAATTAAGTTGTTTCGTATTAACACAATCGAAGGGTTAATATTCGAAATGTTAAATTGGTATTGGATCTCTATATGAGCCGTTATAACCATGCATGATAATGACTAGATTGTATGTCTTGACATTTTCCAAACGCTGGAATTTGCTTAAGGTTTTGTCGTCCTAGACCGGCCTAGTCTAGCTGTAGCGAACAACTAAGGCGTGGGGGGTCACCCTGTATAGATCTATACACAAACTCCTAATCTCCCTCCAGGAAACTCTGGTTATAACTACAGGCTATGATTATACTCTCAGAGGTGCCAACCGACAAGTCTCACTAGATTCTCAACCTTTCATGTTTGTTATGTTTTTCACCATGTTTAATGTTTACATGTATGTTGTAGATTTTCAAATCCAAAGGTATGTATATAAGTATACGAAGTTCAATATTTATGTAAAGGTGTAGTTACGATCTACTAAGCATATGCATTTCAGTCCAAGCCCAATTAGCATGTAAATGGATCACAAAGGTCCAATAACATGTAAGTGAGTAATTTAGGCCTAATAGGCATGTAAATGGACCACCAAGGCCCAACAAACATGTGACCCATAACTCATGCCCAATTTAACATATAAATGGGTCACAAGGCCCAATAAACATGTCATAGAAAATATTGAGCTCAATATACACTTGAATGGGCCCTTAAGGCCCATTGGTCATATAATGTGAATATTAGGCCTAATAAAAATTCTTATCGATGTATTTTGTCCATTCATTATTATTCGTTGTTTGCTTTAGCTCGATGTTTACCAAATTTAATATAAAAGCCCTCTTTTTGTCAAAACAACGCTCTTAGCCAATAAGCCTCAAATTTTCAATTAAGGCCTAAAGTTTTGTAAAAATAACACTTTAGTCCATAATATATAAAAATTTGTAATTTCGCCCCAAATGTTTAGAAATTTACTGATCTAGTCCAAAATTTATATTTGACATTTATGGCCCAGTTTTGCAGAAAATATCATTTTCAGCCCCTTGTTTGTAAAAATGACACTTTCGGACCAATTTTTATAAAAGTCACATTTTTGGTCCAATTTAGAAACAAATGTTATTTCACCCCTAAATTTGGTTTATTTACATTTATGACTCAAACTTTAGTCAAATAACATTTTTAATCCCAAAAACATTCAATTTTTTCGCAAATTTGGGCCCAAAACCGTAAGGCCCAAATATTAAGCCCATTAAGTTAAAATTTACATTTTTGGCCCTTTGGAAAGCATGTTTATCATAAAAATCCATTTTTATACAAGTAGGGCCTGTTTGATCCTTTAAAAACCGTAAATGTCACTTTTTGCCCTTATCTTTTGTTTTGTTGACAATTTTGACCCTTAACAAGATTTACGATTTAAATTTTTTTATCTTAAACATATGAAAACTTTTAACTTGATAATATGATGTATAAGATGTCTTAGTTCATGGATTTTTACTTAATGTTGCTTAAGAGGTCGAGATATGTTAAGATCTATCACATTTTTACAAAATAAACAAAGAAATTACACAAGACATGCATATAACACATAGATCTACACATTTTACTTGCATTCTCCACCAAAAATCACATAAAAACCAAAAACAAGGGGGGTATGAACTCACCTTTGCTTTGATGTTTCGGTTTTGAAGAAGAGATGAAGAGATTTTTGGTCCTAGCAAGCTTTCTTGAGTGGATCTCGAACTTAGGAGGTTTCTAGGAGTATGATCACCAAAAATTTGATTAGAAGGAGTGCTCTATCATGAGAATGAAGTTATATAACCTGGATATGTAAGGACATACCAAGAAAATGATGATTTTTGGTGGAATTCTTCTTGAACAACCCTAGATCTTCGAAAATTTGAAAGGAAATGAAGGAGTGTTCTTGTGAGTATTTGAGAGAGTTTGATGTTGTGTGTATGTGCTTACCTTCGGCCGAAAGGAAGAAAAAAGAGAGGGAAGACAGATGATGATATGATAGGTGCATAGATGTATGGGATTTGGTATTTGTTTAGGGGGTAATTTGCATGGATTAGCTCCATGTATTAGTGAGGTGGCACCATAATATTTTCATTTGTTTTTTTTTCTTTTTTATATCATGGGCCTAGAATTGGGCTTAAGATGGATGAAATTGAATTAGCTTGGCCCACTCTTGGTTATGATCGAGTTTGTGAAGCCCATTAAACACGTTTTGGCCCATTGGGCCCTTATTAATGGTTTACGGCCTAAATAGTATAAAAGAATGGGTTTTATGGTCCATTAGGGTTAATTGGAGTTGTTATGGCCCAATAAGGCCCATTAGGGTTAGAATGAATCATTCTAGGCCCAAATGGTCCAAAATGTTATAGATGTGTGAATTGGGTCCCTTTAGAATCCAAATAGGGTTTCTAAGTCCAATATAGTTGAATTGAATGATTATTGGTTCATTAGGCCCAATAAGGAAATACTAGTCCAATATGGACCTAAATCGGGATTCTTATGGATTTTAGGCTCTTTGTTGAACATGAGAGGTGAATTTAAATGAGCACTGAGTGATATTTACTTAGAGTATATGTTTTACAATAGTTAAATGATTACACGGGAATAGAATTTCCTAGCAAAATGCTAGTTGTGACATGTAATGTTTAACTGCCACATATAATGTGAATACTTAATTTTTTAATAAACGCAACTGTCATTTTTGCATTATTTGTCCTTTTTCAAGGCGTTTAGAAGCAAAAGAAAATGTTCTTTGGAGCAAGGGTAAAAACAAAAGATAGAAACAAGGTAATTTGTTTACAAACGTAGCTGCCATTTTTGCATTATTTGATCTTTTTTCAAGGCGTTTAGAAGATAAGACCATGTTCTTTGGAGTAGAGGTAAAAACGGAAAACATAAACAATAATTTTTTAACAAATGTAACTGCCATTTTTGCATTATTTGATCATTTTCAAGACGTTTAGAAAGAAAGGATCATTTTCTTTGTAGCACGGGTAAAAACAGAAAACAAAAAAAAAAAAAAAAAAGGAAAACAAAAACACAAAAAAATCCTATAATGCCCCTTAAATCAGACACTGAAATCTTGCCACTAATGTGGTTTCTGATCAGCTTCAAGAAGATCCAAGGTCAAATTTATTATGGTTTCAAGATGTTATTGTTGTAGCGATGGCACCTCCTGTTGAAGTACATACAGGAAGTGTTCTGAAATCTGCATTGGCAGGTGGCCTTGCATGTGCATTGTCTACATATGTAATGCACCATATTGACACAATTAAGGTAAGTTTATATTTGATTTATTTAAGTTTCCTGGTCTGAGTTTTGAAAATAAAATGTCCCTGATGTGGAAAATGAAAACAAAAAACACAAAAAAGAAAAACAAAAACACAACAAAATCCTATAATATCCTCCATTTCAAGACTGTCACAAAAACACAAGTTAATTATATAGGAAAGAAAAAACTAAAACTGGAGATGACCATTTTGCCCTTGGTTTGGGTCTTTAGCATAATATAACATGTTAAACGGACAAAATGCAAAACAGATAATATGGAACAAAATGCAAAACAATTAACATAACCTATTAAAGGGACATAATTTCAATTACATTTCAATAACAAAATAATAGGAATACTAATTCATCACAAAATACTAGAGTCTTGTCCCATTTCGGCTCCTAAATCTAGTATTCCAAATTAACAAAAGACTAGAGTTTTGTCTCATCTCGTCTCCTAAATCAAGTATTCCACCTACATCCTTATCCAGATGGCTTTCTTGGTTTAAGCTTTTCACGGATAATAGGTACATCAATTGCTATCCTGCCAACCACATGAGATTGATCTTCCCAATTCGCTGCAAAATATATGAAAGTATTACATTCAATATAATTATAGAATATATATAGATGAAATTATTTCTTACCATTTTCAATATCAAATTGAGTTTCAGGCACTCCATTATCTTGAGTTATAGGAACTCATTCATCAAATTGTGATTCAGGGAATTGCATCATATGTGTACTTTCTCCCCTTTCCATTTCAACCCTATATAGTTCTTCCTCAAAATTATCAAACATGTTTATAACTTCATTTTCCATTGGTGAATCAAACATTTCATCTATAAGTGAACTTCCTCCTCCACTACTTGTACCTGCAGATGATCCTCTTCCACCTTTTGCCCTAGTTGGTCCTCTTCCTCCTCTCCCACCACTTGTAATTGGTCGTTTTGAAGGTGTTTCATCAGAATGTGGTTTTTTAGGCCTACCAGGAGGCTTCTTTTCCTTAGGAGGGGGCACAATCTTTTCATTCTTGCATGTCCTAGCATTGTTCCCTTCTTGTAAACAGTTGTGGCACTTCTTTATTTTTCCTTTACCCGAAACAGTTGAATACTTTGTTTTTTTTTTCAATTTGGTCTCTTTTTCTTTTAACAGGAGGCCTTCCTGGCATCCTGCGTTCTTTTGGGGGTAATAGCTTATCATATGGAGTTTTAACCCATAAATTGCTTCCATTTAAAGGAACAATGGAAGTGTTGTAAGCCAGGTGATACTTTTCCTTCTTGAACCAATCACTTACATAGTCAATGAGATTTTGGTGGGTATGGTTTATAGTCGCGCATACATGTACACATGGAGGACCAGATAAAACCCATAGCCTGCATGTGCATGTCTAACCTCCCAAGTCTACCATATATCCTTCATAACCATTTCTAACCTCCAATAGAGGCCCACTTGGGATAACCATCCAATTCCTATCTAATATGTAGAGTTAGTATAATATTTTTACATTTTATTATAGAACAATCCGGGTTATAAAAGGGAAACAATTCATACCTCACATTTTTGTGCCATTTTTTCATCTTTTTAAGTATCTTTGGAGCAACAACAGTTTTCCATGAATTTGTACTCCTGTTCATTGCATCAAACCTCTCCATCACATGAAGTCTAATCTCTTCTAACATGGTTATCAATGTTTCCCCCTAGCACCAATGATTGCGGAGTTAAATGACTCAGATATTCCACTTTCTACAACCTTGCATGCCCTATCTGTTGCAAAATAGGCCCTACACCATGTTTTAGGATTTCTTTTCATGAGATCATCATATGCATCATTGTTCAACTCTTTCATCTTTTCCATATTGTGTTTGAACTGTTGATCTGTTGTGGACATTGCAGCTTCCCAAAACAAGGTTTTATAATCTCTCTACTAAAACGCTTGTAGAAATTGACACAAATATGATGGGCACATTAGTGGTGCTCAGCATGTGGCATCACCTCCTCCACGACTTCAAGAAGACCCTGTATTTATATACAATATAAGTAGGGGCTGATTTGATATAATAGGGGTTGATTTGCCATAAGTAGGTATTGTGTTAACTCCATAAGGGTTGTTTTAACATAGGGGTTGTTTTGTCATTTCTAATATGTCAAAATTTGCTAAAAAGTGTCCAAAAATGTCCATAGGGGTTGTTTTAACGTAGGGGCTGTTTTGTCATTTCTAATATGTCAAAATTTGCTAAAAAGTGTCCGAAAATGTCCATAGGGTTGTTTTAACATATGGGATGTTTTGTCATTTATACTATGTCAAAATTTGCTAAAAAGTGTCCAAAAATGTTCATAGGGGTTATTTTAATGTAGGGGTTGTTTTGTCATTTCTAATATGTGAAAATTTGCTAAGAAGTGTCCAAAAATGTCCATAGGGGCTGTTTTAACATAGGAGTTGTTTTGTCATTTCTAATATGTTAAATTTTGCTAAAAAGTGTCCAAAAATGTCCATAGGGGCTGTTTTTTCATTTCTAATATGTCAAAATTTGCTAAAAAGTGTCCAAAATGTCCATAGTGGCTGTTTTAACATTTCTAATATGTCTAAATTTACTAAAAAGTACAAAATTACCTTATGTTTATCTGATATTAAAGTAACCCCATTTCCTTCAACTGTTTCAATATCCGATTGTAGTAACTCGATGAACCACTTCCAGTTATCTTTATTTTCTACATTCACAACCGCCCATGCGATGGGGTAAATTTGGTTGTTTCTGTCTCGGCCAATGGCAGCTATCAACTCCCCTTCAACTTTCCTTTTTAAGAAATATCCATCTAAATCAATCACTTTACGACAACCTTTCAACCATCCTTCTTTTAAAGCCTTCAAACAAATGTAGATTCTTTTGAAATATTTTGCATCCGGATTATTATCGACTCCAATTTCAAAACTGCTTCCTGGGTTTGATCTAAAAACTTCATTACCATAATCCCATATCCTAGCATAGTGGTCAGTCAACTTGCCATCAATTAGTGTAAATACTAATGCTCTTGCCCTTTCACATTGACCTCTACAAAGCTTTATAGAATAATTCTATAAAAAATCAGCTTTCATTTCTTTGACTTTGGTTTTGGGGTTGTGAATTAGGTCATTAAGATAATGGTTAGCAATCCAACCTGGAGTTAATCAATGACCCGAGGCTGTATTTTCGTGCACAAACATGTTTCTTTTCCAAAGATTTCACTTGCCAAGTTAGTTCATTCCCCATCCAAGATGCCCAACATCTAAATGGACACTTATTCTCATCACTTTTTTGCCACATCGTACCAATATCCTAGAATGATCACACTTGGCAAACCTCAATTGGTATCCATTAGTCACATCATAATTTGTTAGACAAAGCTTGAGCTGTTATGGGCTTTCGTATTTTCCCCCCAGGTGTGGTTCCATTTTATTCCATGGTATCCTAGGGTTGTGTACAAGATATTGGTCCCCAACTTTCTGGCCTATATCATCTCCTTTGTCAGATTCTTCATTTGAAAAGGTCCATTCAGCATCATCAGATGATATGTCAGGCAATTCTGCTTCTCCCTGTACCAAATCATTCAAAAAAGGATCGCATATTGTCTTGTCCATTGTAGAAGCAACATATTCTTCTCCATCAGAGTCATCATCATCTGTTTCATTCAAATCATCCATATAAACTTCAACTTCGACATTTGAAGTTAAAGTCATAGATGTTGGTTAAGATTCCTTTCAAGAATCAATGCAGACAAAAAAAGAAGTAAATAACACATGCTATCAATTATAGAAGACAGTGAACGAGAATTTCAAGTCGATTACCTTTTTTTTCTTGTGATTAAACACTGATTTTACCGCTGATACCACAAAGTTTTCCCCCGACAAACCCTTTTTTTATAGAATGATCGATTGGAGGTGAAAAGTGGGTTGATGTACCGGAGTCGTATGACACGTACGCTAAAGAGAACGGGTAACCTAGGTTTACCGAATAAAATAGATACATCACACGGGTTGGGAAATAATAGTGGTTAAATCGAGCAAAGAAATAATATAGTGGTTTTTTTAAGCATTAACCAATAATATATAGGGTTTTTCTGAGATTTTCCCTTTAATTTGTACTTCAATTGTTATCAAGTAAAAAATAATTAAAAAATAAGGTAACAGATGATTTGTATATGATTGTACGTTAATTTATGGTATGTTCATAATCAAAACAAGGAAAATATGGCACGTTTCTTAATCATACTACGTGTAACGACCCAATTTTTATGTCCGAAAATTTCATTTTAACATATTACTTTAGAAAACATTAATAAATAAAAACATTGTTTGATCACACCATAACACATCGCAAACCATATTTTAAAAATTCAAACCACACATCCCATCAAAATATCAGAGTACAATCCCAGTGAATCTCGTAAATGCGGAAACCAAAGTGTGTGCATGATGTGCCGCTACCGCGCCGGCTCCTTCCCCTTCGGTGAAGAGGTACCTGAAAACAAAACTGTAAACGTAAGCACAAAGCTTAGTGAGTTCCCCCAACGTACCACATAACATACGTACTGCCAGGCTATTCTGGGGTGCCTGACTACCCGGTACGTCCATTCTGGGGTGCTGACCTACCCATACGGCCATTCTGGGGTGCCGTCCTACCCGTGTCAAGCCATTCTGGGGTGCTGACTACCCATGTCAAGCCATTCTGGGGTGCTGACTACCCATCGGTCCTAACAACCGATCCTCGGGACTGGTCCCTCCGCTACCTCTATCGCATAACATAACAGGCCAACATACAAACATATCATCACATACTGTCAGACGTTTCTGGGTGTCTGACTACCCTGCGGTCCTAACAACCGAACTCTACTACTATCGCATATAACGTATCATGATAGCATATAACATATCAGGTAATAGCAAACCTAGATGATATCACAAAGACAATCATCTATCATACGTCTCCTACTGGTGGGCCGGCATTGTGGCCTTAGACCCACCACTACTGGAAGGTAACTCACCTCAAAGTAGCTGCTGAACTGATCGGGAACTAACTGACTGCTGCTGCTCCGGAAATCCTCCGGCTGCAATTCCCACAACATACTCAATCAAACACTGCTAACTGTCCTTTGGGTAAAATGACCATTTTACCCCTGGTCTAGCTCTAAGTCAAAGTCAGAGTCAACTTTCAGTTGACCCGACTCGCCGAGTTGGCTCTCCAACTCGTCGAGTCCCTATCAGACGATTGTCCTGAGTCCCTGTTTCTACTCGTCGAGTTAGGCTATGACTCGACGAGTTCATCTTCTAGACTGACGTTCAACCTCTTCATCCTACTCGCCGAGTTGTATGAACAACTCGTCGAGTTCATCTTCATCCGAAGAACACTTATGCTAAGACTCGCCGAGTTGTATGAACAACTCGCCGAGTCTGTTCTTGATCTATGAAGATTGCCTTGGACTCGCCGAGTCAGGGCATTGACTCGCCGAGTCCTATCATGGGTGAGTTCAGCTTCCAACTCACCGAGTCACCCCCTGTGACTCACGGCTCAACTCGATACATCATAAAGGGACCAATTCAGTGACTCGCGACCAGACTCGTCGAGTCACATATACGACTCGCCGAGTCGCAGCCATGCATCCATCAAATACACCGATTTGCTCGATTCCAGTCCATGCCATTCACAGATCTGGGCTTCTAGGACACAAATCACACGTAAAGTTTCCAACTTTACGTGTAGATATTCACCAATATGGATTTTAAGGCTCAAAGTGCACCAAAAGAGGTAGATCTAGGGCTTTCATGCAATATGACCCCATAAAGGCATTAGATCCAAGCTCCAGGGACTAAATCATGCCTAGATCTAAAGGCTAACAACTTATTACAACCCACAAAGCACAAACAAGCTTGGGGAAGAGCCCAAGAAGGACTCCTATGAAGCTAAAAGAGATTACAAGCTTGAAAACAGAGGGGAAACGAGCTATACCTCAAGGAAAACGTTGAGATGACACAAAGATGCCTGGTCTCCTTCTCCTCTTCTTGATCTACTCTTCTTTCTCCTCAAAATCTTCAAGAACACTCCAAAACACTTCAATCTCTCAAGGAAATAAGGGTATAAACGATGTTGGGAGTTCTGGGGGTGAATGGGGACGAGTTTGGGGCGGAATGAGGGTTTAAATAGGGTGCAAACCCTTGAAATTTAGGG